AAAATTGACATGTTTCACAAAAATTTTACATAGCTATGACAGTAGACATGTCGATCGCGTGAAATCCTGTCTGACTGTTAAGGGGATAAAATTGTGGTTTACTAAAACATTTGCTTAAATTAATTGTGACATTTTGGGCGCCATAGTATAAATCATAATCACACTATATTTGGTGGGTGATTATTAAATTTTGATCCTCGAAATTCTTCCAAGACAAATTAAAATGTTCATTTTGTTGCAGTATGCCCATATAAAAAACACTCCGTGACATGCCCATGAAAAAATATTTTCAAGCCGATCATACTATATCAAGTGTTCATACATTACATCATAATAACACTATTACTATTTTTTTATTTTCTTTTTGAACTTTTAAAAAAAATAAATTATGGCTGTAAACCTTGGTGAATATGATGAAGAACAAATTAGGTTGATGGAGGAAATGTGTATTCTCGTTGATGAAAATGACAAAAAAATTGGATCTGATACCAAAAAAAATTGTAAGTTATATATCTAAATTTAATAGTATATATGTATATATTTATTTACACACATACATATATTAAAGGTCATCTCATGGAAAATATAAAAAAAGGATTGTTACATCGAGCATTTTCTGTATTTTTATTTAATTCTGAAGATAAATTATTATTACAACAAAGATCATCAGATAAAATCACCTTTCCAAATAATTGGACAAATACATGTTGTTCTCATCCATTAAATACTAAATTAGAATTAGAAGAAGAAAATCAAATTGGTAAATAATTATAATGACCATTTAATATTTAAACTAACACTCTTGCATGTAAACACTGATAATTATATTATTAAAGGAGTTCTTCGTGCAGCTCAAAGAAAATTAGAACATGAATTAGGAATTAAAGCTGAACAAGTACCTTTGGATAAATTTAAATTTTTAACTAGAATACACTATTTGGCACCATCTGATGATGTTTGGGGTGAACATGAAAGTAAATAAATATATCTTTAATTAAAAAAATAATATCATTATTTTTGAGATATTAAAAAAAAATTTTTTTTGAAATGAATCATTAGTTGATTATATTCTGATTATTCGTGCAAATGTTGATCTTAACATAAATCCAAATGAAGCTAAAGAAACAAAATATTTTTCTAAAGATGAATTACAATCTAAATTTAGTAATCCAAAAGGTGAGCAAATTATATTATGATTGTTTTTGAATATTTATTACTTATTTATTTTTTCTTTTAATCATTATAAATAGATTGGATATTTACACCATGGTTTAAACTTATTGTTGAAAATTTTCTGTTTGAATGGTGGGATAACTTAAATGAATTAGATAAATTAAAAATAGATAGTAATAAGATTTATAAATTATAAATTATTTATTAAAAAAATTTGTAATACCTCAAAATATATTTTTTATTTCAAGATCTCCATACTTTCACTAATCCGTCTATACTAGATGATAGCATCTCATCTATTCTAGGATGATATGTTACATAAACTACTATACCCGGATGTGCTTCAATTGTTTTTAATAGATTCCCCTATATAAATATATAATTAGATTGAGAGCAATTTTAAAATTAAATAATCTTAAAAAAAAAAATATAGTTGATAATACATTTAACAAATCCCAAATATAAATAGACCCATCTTCAGACCCGCTGATAATTTGAGAATCATCATTTGATAAACATGAATTAACCCTGTAAGTTGAATTCTTGTGACCTTTAAAACTAAAATAATTTTATTAGTTAATGTGAAATGATTGTAGATGTTTTTTTAGTTTTGGTACATACTCATTTAACATCCTACCATCCTCCTTATCCATTAATCTTATGACACTATCTAAAGAGCTAGCAAGTATATAATTATTATCACTTGATAAAGTAACTGATGTTACAGGGTCTTTTTTTTTTAATAATAATTAATTAGTTTTATAATGTAATGACCAATATATATAGTGAATATGTTAAAGACTCACATGAAATATAATCAGTTAATAAAGCTCCCATACGAAGATCATGTTACCATCAGTGCTTCCTGCTACAATCTCATAATTTTTAACTTGTAGTGATGTGATACTATCTTTAGCTTCACTTAATATTTGAATTGGTGATCGTGATCTTGCTCTACAAAAAAAATGCAAATGTATGTACATATTAATGAATATTATTGATTATATGAATATTATGATTGCTATTATGAATATTACTTGCAATCCCATAATTGTATAGTTGTATCAAATGATCTTACAAAAAATTTTTGTGAAAATAAGTATTTATGTATTGAATATTAAGCAATATTATTCATCGGTTGAAAATAGATAATCACCACTAGCTATCACACTTCCATCAAAATTGAAATCAACTGAATTGATTCGCTAAATAAAATAGATTTATTCTTAATATAATAAAGTGAATATGTACTCATTCTTTTAAAACGATATATGATATGTACCTAGGAATGTCCATCAAAACATGAAATAATTCTACCAGTTAAAACATCCCAATAAAATACTTGTTGATCACCACCACACGATACAAAACGTCTATGATCACTAGTTCTGTAGAAAACTTAATTAACTAACTAATCAATTAAATCATATCCTCTAACATTTTTTATACATACATACACTCCCCTAAAAAAAGTATCGACTCACTTGATGATCCGCGAAAATAATCGGGTAAATTGGTAATACAAATACTCATTTTTTTACTAAGAAAATCAATGTTGTATATTAGTGAGAAATGTTTAACGAAATGATTCCTATAACATTCTAAAATATCACATCGGACCGATCGTTATTGATAATTTTATGATGTTTAAAAGTCAAATTAAAATTTTTCGAAAATTTTTTGAAAAAGTTGCACTTAGAGCTATTTTAAGATACAATGTTTTAACGCATCTTGGGAACTTAGAAAATGTTGTTCCATTTGTTTTCAAATATATAAATATGAATGTTCATAATTATTGGCAGAATATTCATAGAGAATTAATACAAAACGCAAAATAATTTTTTATGCAAGATGATTATCATTATGCGCGAACAAACTTTAAAGGGCAATTGCGGCTGAAATATCTAACCAAAACTAGATTTTTTTTTTTAAAAAAAAAGATTGAACTTTCAATTTGTTATTTCAATTAAAACATCATGTCTCAATTAACAGACTTTGAACGAGGAAGAATAATTGGGCGTTGGGAAGCAGGTGAAAGCACTCGTAACATTGCCAGTGCACTCCATCATTCTCAGTCACAAGTAACTCGTGCAATACAAGCATTTAAAGGAGAAGGTCAAACTACTATTGCTCCAAGAAGTGGAAGACCTTCAGCCTTAAATGATCGTGATGTCAGACAAGTAAAAAGAATTACCAAAAAAAATTGAGATAAGCCTATTGAGCAAATTACTGATTCAGTAAATGAATGTTTGTCCACTTCTATCTGTAGTGCAACTATTCGTAATTATCTTCATGGAGAAGGTTATTACAGTCGGGTTGCATTAAGGAAACCTTTTGTTTCAGAAAAAAATCATCAGAAACGTTTAAAATGGTGCAAAGAACGGAAGAATTGGAACACAGAATGGAATTATGTCATTTGGAGTGATGAATCAAGATATAATTTGCATCAAAATGATGGTAGGCAAAGGGTCTGGCGTCTACCGAAAGAAAAGTATGATGTTGATTGCCTTGTACCTACCTTTAAACATGGTGGAGGTGGTATAATGGTATGGGGTTGTTTTGTTAATAATTGTCTAGGACCTTTGGTGGTAATAGATGGTAAAATTAATGGTAAAGGTTATCAAGAACTTCTTAGAGATAATCTATTGCCCTTTCTTAACGGACTGGGAGATGGTTCTTTTACATTTCAGGATGACAATGCTCCTGTTCATACAGCTGGTGTAGTAATTCAATGGAAAGAGGCAAATTTAATATCTTCACTCCCTTGGCCTGCTCAAAGCCCAGACCTTAATCCAATAGAACATGTTTGGGACCAATTAGAAAAAGCAATTCGCAAAAGGAATCCTCCAAAAAATACAAATGAATTAGTTTCTTTTTTGATGGAAGAGTGGGCTAATCTTGATCGTCATTATTTGCAAAAATTAGTAGACAGCATGCCTCGAAGGGTTCAAGCTGTAATTGATTCAAAAGGAAACCCGACAAAATATTGAATAAATAATCAAATATTTATACTTTTTGGATACTTTTGATATAAATTTAATAAAAATTTATTATGTAAAATATTATGCAAATTGTGGATGAAATTCGTTACGATTTTTTTTGCGTTTTGTATTAATTCTCTATGAATATTCTGCCAATAATTATGAACATTCATATTTATATATTTGAAAACAAATGGAACAACATTTTCTAAGTTCCCAAGATGCGTTAAAACATTGTATCTTAAAATAGCTCTAAGTGCAACTTTTTCGAAAAATTTTCGAAAAATTTTAATTTGACTTTTAAACATCATAAAATTATCAATAACGATCGGTCCGATGTGGTATTTTAGAATGTTATAGGAATCATTTCGTTAAACATTTTCTCACTAATACACAACATCGATTTGCTTAGTAAAAAAATGAGTATTTGTATTACCAATTTACCCGATTATTTTCGCGGATCATCAAGTGAGTCAATACTTTTTTTAGGGGTGTACTTTTGTTATGTGGCATTTTGTGTAATTATTAAAAAACCTCATCCAAATACTTTTTGGAGGGTAGTGTATATCAATCAATACTTCCAAGATCATTGTAATTGACACTTATTAATAAAATTAATAATTACATTGTCTTCTTTCTACACTACCTTTACAGCATCCCATGTAAACAAGTTGATTGATAACTATCATAATATTTAATTGCCCAATACTTATCATAGAGTAAATTATCACCCCTTCTCCAAGGAAAAACTGAAAATCTTTCATTTTTATAAAATAATACTTGTTCTCTATAATAAAAGTCTTGAAAAATTCATTCCACCTTTACACTTCTTAACACAATAGTTTTTTGCGAGTCTCTCTAAATTTATTTACCAAAACCCTTGAAGAAAAAATTACCCATCTTTGAATATGCATAAAAGTTCCACCCAATACAAGAGATTGGAAAGTCAGATTATAAAGACTAATCAAATAGTCTTATGAACCAAATCAGTCACAAAATGATGATTATGATTCAATTTTAACTTATAATCAAATAAACTTAATACAAGTACCAGAACTGCTTAATTAAATTACAACAAGGTAAATAAAAAGTTTAGAGTGAAAATATTTTTATTGTTTTTATTTAATATTGTATAATAAATGTAACCGTTCCGACGATCATAAATTTGTTTAGTAATGTTCACATGCTAGCTTGTAGCACGAGATATGCAATAAATAATATTTTTATTGACCATGGGAATTCATATTAATATTAATATGTACATAAGTATGTTACATAATACATTACACAAATAACACAAACAAATAATAATTTAAATATCTTTCCAAATGTGGAGATTTTTTTATATATAATCTATTAATCTAACGCAAATACTCAATCAATTCCAATGTTTCAGCATCTGGTGAATAACTTTTCGTAATAAATATAATTAATTTTACTACACGCCTTTTCTTTTTATCAGTATTACTTTTTTTACGTCTTTTGTTTCCAAAAAATTCTTTCGTTGTCATTATTGATTATTAGCAATGAATGAAATAGATCAAAACCCAAAACCTCAAAAGGCTGGCAGTCAACCACGGTAAGTTACTAATTTTATTACTTGTAATGAATAAATTAATGAAGGATTGAATGTACTGAACAAAAAAAAATTTATAGAAAGAAATCAAATGATAATAATAAATCAAATGATGATAATAAATCATTTGGTGATTCGCCAACTCTTCCACCAATTTCAAATGAAAATATCGTAGAATTTTCCAATCTAGAATCTTCCCCTCTTTCAACATCACCAAGAACATCTACACTACCATTTAACAACATTGCTGCCGTAAATTCTTCTTTAAAAGTATCCAAAAGTCTTGAGTCCATAAAGAAGATTAATAATAATTCAACATCAGCGTCATCATCATCAACAGCTAGAAGACCAACCAAGACAGGACTTCATTTAGAATCTCCCCCATCTTCATCTAACCTTGCTGTAAATTCACAATATACTATTTATTCACCTCCTTTCCACCACCATCAAGTGACCTCTCCTAGAACCTCTCCCCCTCTTTTTACTACAACTTCTTCTTCTCAACCATCACAAACCTCCTTTCCAACTTCAGGCCCATTATCGCCTAATCTTTTGACTCATAAACAAGTATCAAATCAACAACATGGTATTATACAATACAACCAGAATAACCAAAATGATCAACAAATCAACAAAACCGTTCAAACTAATATGACTAATAATAATAATAATAATAATCAATCAAGAAAACATAGTAGTACTCTTAATAATAACAACCATAATCATCGAGGAGATGGTAGGCGACATAACAATACAAATGAACAGCAACAGCAACAGCAACAACAACGGCAAAATTCTCTAAGATTAATTGAACCTGCACCTGCACCTTCTATGTATTGGTCAAAAATAAAAACAAATGGTAAACTGCCTAAGGCTTTAAGAGCACACTCGGTAAATTTGGTTGGTGAGTTGATGTACGTATTTGGAGGATGTGATTTACATACATGTTTCAATACTGTCTATGTTTTTGATGCTGGTTAGTTCACTTTATATTATCATTACTATTATTTTGAGTAAAAGCATTCATTTGTTCATTCATTTGTATATTTATATATCATGAAAATTTAGATACTATGTATTGGAGTAAACCAAGAGTTAGCGGAGAAGGGCCACCACCATGTAGGGCACACTCTTCAACACATGTAGATAAAAAATTATTCATATTTGGTGGAGGAGATGGTCCAGTATATTTTAATGATTTATATATTTTTGATACAGGTACACCATTAAATTGACGAATATTATTATTATTTATAATTATTAATAATATGATGAATAAAATATATTATTGGAAATTTGTTTTATAGAAACATTAACATGGTTTAAGCCTCCGACAACTGGAGACACTCCATCGCCACGTAGAGCACATACCACAGCATACTACAACAATAGTATTTATGTGTTTGGTGGTGGAGATGGTGCACGAGCTCTCAACGATGTCTATATGCTGGATATATCTGATTTGAATAAATTAGTTTGGAAAAAAATAGAAACTAATGGAATTGCACCGATTTCTAGAGGATATCATACTAGTAATTTGGTTGGAAGCAAGTTGGTCGTTTATGGCGGAAGTGACGGCCATGAATGTTTTAGTGATGTTCATATCTTGGATTTAGGTAATTATTAGCATTAGTTATAAACAATTATAGGATTAATCAGTACGAAATAATAATAGCAAATAATAATAATAATAATTGATGTTTCTTAACTGTATAAACAGAAAAAAATAAATGGACTAAAGTTCATAATGGAAAAGCCAATCCAAGACTTTCACATACATCAACTGGTGTTGGATCGTATTTATTTATTGTTTGTGGTCATGATGGTACAAGATATACATCTGAATTACTGTTGCTAAATTTAGGTATTTTCATTACTTTATATATTAAATATATTATTAAACAAACGTAAAAAAAATTAATAATATATTTATATTTATATTTATTTAAAATATAAAGTTACAATGGAATGGGAGAATCGTAAAGTTTATGGAACACAGCCAACTGGACGCGGATATCATACTACAATATTGTATGATTCAAGACTTTTTGTGTTTGGAGGATATGATGGAAAAGTTGTATATGATGATGTTTACGTTTTAGATTTGTCTGCACATGCCTATTTACCTCAAATCACCAATTTTGAACTTCCTGATCTATCACAATAATTTATAATGTAAAATACACACATAATTTTAAAAAAATATATATCCAACTTTACACATTCTTTAATATTAGATGAATATAATCACTATTACATATATATATTTATATATATTGTTTATAAATCCTTTATTATTTATTTTATTTAATTTTAATGCTTTTAATTTTGTATTTTGTATTTGTAGATTATTAAAAAAAAAAAAAAAGAAAATAATATTAATGCTTTAAAGATTATTTCAATGCCACAACTGTAATTTTTTATAGTGATGCTATTTACTTCTACGTTATCCGGTCAAAAATACATCCGATGGACTTTACCGGATAATCTGTAGGATTGACTAATAAAGTTATTTTAATGAACATTATTAATAAAATATGTAAATAAAAAGAAAAGAATTTAGTGAAAAAATCAAAAGGTGTTCCATGTAAAGATGAAGCAAAGCTCAAAATGGTTTTTATAGCCTAAAATTCTAAAGTCAAGAAAGAAAAGAGAAACGATTTTAAAAGTCCAATTAGTTACCTACAAGTTGAGTTTAAAGTAACTCAACTTTACAACTTTGACAGTTTTCGAACATTTCAAAGACAAATTGCAAAACCATTTTTTAAACATGGAAAAAAATCACAAAATCGTGACGCGTTCAAGTAATAAATTTATTTTGAATGAAAAACTATGGTAACAATTATTTCACTTGTGCGCAAATCATGCTCACTTGACTGTTTTAACTATTGCTATTACCATTACGGATATTCGGATCAATCACAATTCTGCATCGTGCGGTTCCGCTTCCAATACCATGAAGTTTTACAGAAATCGAATTTTTTGAAGCAAAAGATGAATGATTAACAAAGTATGTGTGATGTGTAAAAAGATGAAAACTCCAGACTTCAGCCAAAGAAAGCCCATTTAAATATATATCTTCGACATGTTTTATATCCTACTGGTAACCTGAAAATATTTCTACTATCTTCATCTTAATGACTTCTAATAATAACACAGTTGTGATTATTATGGAGGTCTAAAGAAAGTTGAAAGAACTGGTACAGATTGATTATGCCCACCTTGGTTGGAAGTGTATGAAATCTTGTCCTTTCCAGTGTTCCACTAATAGCAATAGTTAAAACAGTCAAGTGAGCATGATTTGCGCACAAGTGAAATAA